ACACACACACACACACACACACACACACACACGTTCAATGGAGTATAAAATAAAGACCAGGGCAGTTCCTCACCGGAGTCTCTCAGTAGGGAGCTGCCCTTGCTAGCAAGAACTCTGTGTGTTTCTCTTCTCTGAGTCTTTACTGAAGAAGTGTTTTAGAATATTTTCCCTAACACTATGCTATCCAGTGTACTGAGTAGCCTTTGGAACTTCTTGCCTGGGGTTTGACTCCCAACCAGGGTGTCTCTATCCTTTATGCGTCCCCAGGCTATAACCCCCATGCCAACCCAGCCGGCCTCGGATGTGAACGGTCAGATTACACTGATGAGAAGTGGGCTACTGAAACAAGAAGACATAAATGGGCAAAGGATGAGAACGTGTTGCTGTTGGAATGCTACTAAGCAAGTAACTCCAGCAGAAGGGGGTTGCATTAAGAGGATAACATTCAGAAGAAGCGACCACAACTGGTGCTACGCCAAGGGGGAGCAAGAATGTCAGGCCAGGTTTGTATTATGTATTCTAGGCAATCCCCAGTGGGACCATCATTGAGACTAATCAACTGATCTAAACCACGGCAGCAGTGATCAGTGATGAACAGCCACAAGAATCAGTACCCTCCATGAAGAAGGAGGCTAGAGGCCAAGATCAATATAGCATGGAAGAAAGTTAGCAAACTACCAGAGCTGCAGCATTGTGCGATGAAGAAAGGGATGTCTAAGAAGTACAGCAAGCTGTCCATGTCTGAAGCCTTGAAAACTGCCAAGCAAAGATTCACCCCCTTGGCTAGTCACTTGAAGAGGTACACCAGAGAGATTGAAGGAAGACTGTACTCCATGGAACAATTCAAGATATACTCTCAATAGCAGGGGAACAGTATGAGACAGCCATAACCAAGTGGCAGGCATAATATACAGGAACATCTGTGTTGAGTATGGCCTGGAAGTCCTGAGGACAAAATGGTGGTGGCTAACCAACCGGACATAGGGGTGGTAGACAAGCAGAAGAAAACGGCCATAGTGGTAGATGTAGCAGTTCCAAATGACAGCAACATCAGGAAGAAGGAACACGTGAAACTGGAGAAATACCAAGGCCTCAGAGAAGAGCTGGAGGAGATGTGGAGGGTGAAGGTAACGGTGGTCCCAGTGGACCAAAACTCTGTCCGATTCAGGTCCAAAGTGTTCAAAACTGTCTAAATTATTTCATCTTTAATAAAATGAGCAGCGTTGCTGCCCCCAAGGGTGGTGGAGAATGACCGAGCTAAGATCCTGTGGGACTTCCAGATACAGACGGACAAAATGGTGATGGCTAACCTGCTGGACATAGTAGTGGTGGACAAGCAGAGGAAGACGGCCATAGTGATAGACATAGCTACATCAGGAAGAAGAAACACGAGAAGCTGGAGAAGTACCAAGGGCTCAGAGAAGAGCTGGAGAAGGTGTGGGGGGTGAAGGTAACACTGGTCCCAGTGGTAATCGC